GGGCCAGTCGGCAGGCACCTTTGTTCTCGGCCGCTGCTGTCCGCTGCGCGGTGATTCACGAAGCTGCAGAGGCGGGCGGAAGGGCGAGGGCGCCCCAGGCGGCACCCAGAGGACGCCTTGCTTGGTTCCTCCCCGCCCCAGCGTCCGCGCCGCGGGACCGTAGCTGGCGTCGCCACGGAGGGCACCTCAGGGGTAGCCGGGGGCGTGCGGAGAGGACGGGAGCCAGGGTCCGCCCTGGTCCACCTGGATCTCGGCGCTGCGGTTAGGCGCAGGCACACAGCGGTGCAGAAGGATGTGCCAGAGCTGGGGCGGCAACGAACCTGGTCCTGCCTGGGGGCCCATCCCCAATCCTGCGAGGAACTCTGTGTCCACGGGCCTCCTAGGGCTCCATCCCCAGTCGTGTGAGGCCTACTGGATCCCCTGGACTGCTAGGGCACCATCCCCTCCCCCCATCATGCAAGGCCCTCTGGATCCCCTGGCCTGAGGGGACTCCATCCTTGGGCCTGTGTGTGGCTACCGAAGAGGCCTAGAGCCAGAGTGCAGCGCCGGCTCTCCTGGGAGCCGCTCACAAATGGCCTACCAAGTCCAAAAGAAGGCGCAGACCCCCAGCTCTTCGCAGAGATACAGCTAGCCTCAGCCTGTCCTTTCCTGCCTTTCCCACTTGCATGCTGTGGGAGATGGCCTTGCCCACAGTTGATAACCCTTAAACTTCATTCCAGTTGGTGTGTGCTTTTTTACAGACCAGCTTCCCATTCTACAAAGAACGCACCTGAGAAAATAGCCAGAAGTCCATGGAAGAAAGATGGAGTCAAAACTGCTCTGTCCCAGAGTGTAAACATGGTGCTCAAAGAAACCTGCCACAGAGAAAGGGCATCTTTCCCCAAAGTTCTCCTCATTGACCAGGAGGAACTTGTGTTAGATTCTCTGGATAAATTCAGTTTAAAAAAAAAAAGTATTCAGTTATTTGGTTCTACTCTTTCCCTAGATCAAATATGAATTTAAAACATATCATTACAAGTCAATGAATACTGATTCACCTTGCAAAACAAAGTATGAAGGAAACACCATAAGGATTAAATCCCTGCTGCCCGCCTCCCCCACCCGGGGCAGTTTCCCCTCCAAAGAGAATGATACAAACATATAATTGTATGTACAGGCAGCTTAGGTAGGAGAAAACTTACAATTAGAAAAAAGTAAAGGTTGGGGTGGAGAGCAGATGGCAGTGGCAAATGCCTGTAATCCCAGAAGCTGAGGCAGGAGGCTCCAGAGTTCCAAGCCACCCTCAGCAATTTAGGGGGGCTTTAAGCAACTCAGGGAGATGCTGTCTCAAAATAAAGAAGAGCTGGGGATGCTGCTCAGTGGTTAAGTGCCCCTGAGTTCAATCCTTGGTACAAAAAAACAAACCAAACCATCAGGGTTGACATAGAATTTGAAACGTGTCTCACAAGTCATTTATTGTCTGTGAAGTCAGAGGTAAATGATTTTACCTCTCGGGGCCCTCCATTGACTCATTGTAGAATGAGGATAATATTGTCCAACTATTTCACAAAAATTTTTTTTTCATGGCCTACCAACTCTGAACTAAGAACTATGTTAGGTGCTGGGGATGGAAGTTATCATTCATTCACCGAATAATGCCTTACTTTTACTAAATGAAGCTCTGAGTTAGACACTGGAAATACAGTAATGGAGGGAAAAAACAGAAAACTGTATGAGGTCACATGGAAGACATAGCTAGAGGTGAGGAAGAAACCCAAGTAACGTGGGGAAGGAGAAGGAAGATAGCTAACCTTCAAGGTACTGGAAGCCCTAGAAGTGTTTCAGAAAGAAGGACTGGTCAACCATGTCAATCACAAAGTTGAGCACATGAGGACAAAGTAACGTCCACTGTGGTTGACGACTTGGAACTAAGCAATCTGGACTTCAGTAGACTTGTGGTTTCAGAAACTAGATTGAATAGGCTTGAGGAATAGAAGGCTAGAAACTGGAGCCAGAAAAAAGACAAGCCTGAAAGTCTGTAAAAAGGTATCAGAGAAAGGGTGGCTGGTGAGGTGCTGCATGTTTGCATGCTGCCAAGAACCCCCAGCACAGGTGGGGAGAGCCTGAAGTCACAGAGAGGGGAGATGCTAAAGAAGGTGTGGGTGCACCTCCTCCCACCCACAGGGGAGACAGCATCCAGCTGCAGGGCTCTCTAGGGATCTGGTGGCGGGAAAAGTGAAGGATTTTACTTTCCTTAATGAAATACAAAGTGAAACCTCAGCTGAAAGTGAATAAAAGAAAGGAATACAGAGGGTTTGAGGGGAAAAAAAAGTTGGGGCGGGGCTGGGGTTGTGGCCATCTCCAACTTAAAAAAAAGAAAAAAAGTGTCAGAGTGAAGGGGCAGGAAAGAACAGTCAATAGGATACCATGTGGGGTTTGCCTACTGACGCTGGTATAGAGTGAGACTAGTCTGGTTTTGGGGTGTTCTCAGTCTACTTTAGCTGCCTGGATAATGATAATGGGGTTCATTCAGGAACAGTTCTCCCAGGTAAAGAAGAGGAGCAAAGGGATGTGGCGAGTTTTTACAGGATTGATTATAATGATGGGCTACTATGATTGGATCTGGAACAACCCCCCAAACCTTGACAGTATGATCCCCAATGAAGCAAAGTGCAGAGGCAGGGATTTTAGGCAACAATGAGGGCTCTATCATCAGTGGACTAATCCAGCAAAACAAAGAAAGCCTCTCCCACCATTTCTTCACCACAGTGAGCCCGACAGGCTTTTCTTAGTTCAGATTGTAACTGTCAGAATCCTGCTTCCCTCCAGCGCGCTCTGTGCTTCCCGCGGGAGGAGTCCCCACGGTACAGGGCACCACTTTCTCACACTGTTCCGTCCTCCCAAGTTGTCCTCCAGCCCAGGCCAAGGAGTGAACCATCCCTGGTGGTGTCACAGGAAGGTGATAACGTCCCACCAAGTCAGACAGATGAGCAGGAAGAGGAAAGAACTGGATCCTTGATTGAATGGCTTGGGAAATAAAATGTTTCTATTTCTTCAATTATGTTAGGATTTTCAGTTCTGGTATGTAAAAATAGCTTAACAGACAAACCATGGAAGCGGCACACGTTTGTAAGCATTCTGATTGGGGAGGGAAACTATCAGTTGGTGAAAAACTAATTGCATTAACACTTTCTTTCCTACTTGGTTTTCCTTTCAAAAGAACAAATACAAAATATTAAAAGATCATCAAAGCAAAGCTGCCCTTAACAAGTTTCCAAAATGTGTCTTGATATCTACTTCGTTAGACATGTTACAAGACTGCATCTTAATTTCTTTTAAAAAACTAGTAAATTCTAGTTTTTCAAAATCAAAAACAATGATGAATATTTACCTATGCACCTATACCCACCTCTTATACTACTTTGGGATAATATAATGTTAATAAATATAACCAGTAAGCACAAGTGTAAATGTCTCGCTTTTGCATGTTTGTCATTAAAAGAAAACAATTAAGCTTCAATTGAAGAAAGAATGTAGCTGATCAGAACTATGAGGATCAAAAATGTACACATTTATTTTTGAAAAGTTGGAGGAGAATACTGTTTTTTGTACATGTAAGGAGCTATTCACAATAAAGAGCAAATACCAAGGCCAATGCCACATAAGACTCCGTCTCGTGTTTCGCTTCTACCCAGCTGTCCCAAGCAACATCCCAGATCCATCTGCTTGCAATCTGCGAGAGAAATTTTTTTAAAAGACCAATTTGAGCATATTAAGAAGTCATTTTAAAATCCACACTAGTTTTTTTTTTTTTTTTAATAGTGCACCTACAACTCAGAAGGCAGTATCTCCCTCTCATGAAGAGACCCAGAGAAGTGCTGCTCAGTCCCTTTCTCCTCTCTGAAGGCTGGCAGTCTTGGTGCCGTGTGTCCTGGGGCAGGGTCAGAAGCCCTAAGTGGGGACCCAGCAGCTCTGTATGTAGCCTACTCCACTGTGGTACAGACCACGCTAAGGAATCCTACTTTCCACTCTTAGAAGAATTTCATCCAAAGCCTGTTAGGACCCTGCCTTGGAGAAGCAGCAACAGGCAACTGATACCATCAGGCAGGCACCCCCTGGAATCCCAGCTTCTCTCTGCTTTCAAAGCCTCACATGTAGCACCGTAGTCTGCTTCTCGGTAATGGATCTAAAATGGCCATAAATTCTTCGTTGACTCTGTTTCTTTACCCCTTGAGTATGAGTTGGCCTTGTTATCTGCTGTGAACAAAATGTGGCCTTGTGTGACTCCCCCAGGGGTCTCACTCTCTGCTGTCACCCTCCTGGAGAGCTACATAGGAATCCTGCTCCATACCCTGAAGATGGTCACTCTCATCTGGGGAGCCTAGGTTCCCCCATCAGCAGCAGCCATCACACGTGCTGAGATGTGAGAGGGATCTGGGACTTCCAGGCCCAGGAGAGTCACCAGAGACCTGCAGCTGGTTCAGGCTGAGCTGTCCCATGGTTCAGGAAACAGTTGCCGATTGTGTCAAACTCTTCAATTCCGGGGCAGGTTCTTGTCCCCTTGTAATTGGCTGATACATTCCCCCCACCCCGACATCACACTGCTCTCCACAAGCTGAAGCAGGCCAAGGTCATCCTGCCTCGGCTCCAAGTGCCCTCAGCTTGGACTGTTCCCAGGGGTCTCTGGCACAGCTTGCCCCCCTCCTCATCTGGACACCAGAGGACCTTCCCTTCCCTAGGCAATCCCAAGCAGCCCTCTGGTACCCTCATTTCCCCCCACCACAACTCTCCCTAGGTACTCCACACCATCTAGATCCTCCTGTTACTTCACCCTGTGTGCTGGGTGCTGTCTGTGGCAGAACTTCCCTGGGGAGCCAGGACTGCCTCTGTTGCTGGCTCTGCATGGCCAGCACCTTCACCTGCCCACATCCTCCTTGTGCTTCAGAATGCAGTTCCGTCCCCCATGAAGCCTCTGCAGATGGTGCAGAAACACAGTTTTCACCCCTTTTCTCACCAGCTCCTGCACATTCACAACCAGTTCCCCAGAGGCTTGGACTTGCTAGGCCTAGTGGTCTATCGTGATGATACGCACAGCCTTGCTCCAGCTGGCATCTGTCCTGAGCCTGCGGTGCTGCAGCCCCAGGGCCACTTGGACCGGGAGCCCAGGCTCCTGCAGTGCTTGCTGTACCCAGGGCACTGCTTCCTCAGACTCTAAACTGGAACACTTCATCTCCTTGCCTGGAGAAAAGCTCCTGGAAACTCCTGGCCCATGTCTTATAATTCTTCGTATTTTCCTCAGTACCCAACATACATTAGTACCCCAAGTAAATTCACTGGTTAATTAACTTAAATGATATTAAGCTGGTACGATTGAGACACAGGGTAACTCTACAATTTAATAAACCATCAATAGAAAATGTTACATCTAGGTTAGTACTTTTCACATAATTCACAGTAAAATAAAGCATATTTAACAAAAGGATCCTTGCATTGAAGAGGCACCTCAGGACCCTGAAGTGTTTGGGGATCATCACTGTGAACACCAGACCCTCAGGAGGGGACACCTCACTGTTCTAAAGGCAGGTGCAGGTCTGTGGGTACTTACGTTTATTGCTTGACCAGTCTTTTGAATGAATAATACTTTTATAATGAACTTATAACGGTGATACCCAAATTCTTTGACTGCTGATAGTATTCGGTCTGACAATTCAAGTGACAAATGAGAGAAGAGTTTATCATCATATTTGACATCTTTAAGATGTTCCTTTAAAGAATTAAGAAAAATACTTTAATTTTCAAAACAAATATTTTTGAATAAAAAAGTGGAAAACATGCATCTAAATAACACATTAAAATAAACATATTTCAGACAAAATAAGATTAAATAAATGTTACACTTACCAATTTATTTCAATAACAGTTTTGAAAAATTATTTTGATTTTCTAAATTATATTCGGTTGCTCTTCATTATCAACACTTAAGCTCTAAGTCGGTGTTTACTAGACTCTGTCAAACAGTTATGAGAGAGACTCAAGGGGAACTTTTAAAGGTTTCTGGAAGTTCACACCCGGGGAAAGGCAAAGGCATGGAAGGTTTCTCCTCGCACTGGTTAACAGGCTGGTTATGACCTGGAGGGAGCCACATGCAGCAGCACTCATCCTGTCCCGCGTGGACGAAACTGGACCACCTAACCACACCTGGAGGTGACACCCTGGGCTCTGATCATGACAGATGGACTGCCACCAGCCACTTCCACAGGATGTGAAAGCAAATAAATGTGTCTCTTTGTCTCTCTCCTCCCTCCTTTCTTTCCTTCTCTCCTAGAAGTCTTCGGGGTTTGGTACTGGGGTCCTGACACTGTTTTCCCTTGGGGACTGGCTGTGGCTCCAGCTTCCCATGCTGGTCTGGGGAGAAACTTGCCCCACCCCAGGTGCTGACTGGGACCTCCATCTCCAGTCCCGTCAGGTCAGGGTGCGGCTTCTCTAAAGGCTGGCGGCCTGGGCCACACACAAGCAGAGAAAGTGGCACTTGACCAGGCTGTTCCCCTCGTGTTTCCTTTCCTTTTCTTTTTTCACTCTTGTTGTTGTTGTTGTCTGTTTCTGTTCCCCACCCCCTTGATGCTGGTGATAGTAACAGACAGACTTGAGCCCTGGGAGCAGGAGGACAGGGCGTAATTCTCTAAAGCAGCCGCCTGTGCTGACCCCCACACGCTCTCTTTAAGAAGCAGTTTACCTGCAGCACTGCCTGGCTTAAGTCAGTAGGCTGCGTTACATTCCTGAGCAGGAGAAACACAGGTCTGAAAGCTTGACAAGAAGAACACAAGTTACGATGGGGGTGATGGGGGGGCCGAACATAGTGACCCTTACACAGACCAAGTCCCACAACTTGGGAGATAAGGATAATTCCCTCAAACCATAAAATCTATAAGAACAGTTTCCTACTAGAATTGGTCAGCATGATCCAAAGTGCCCTAGAGTTGTCCTGAACATCTGCCATGCCCAGAGGGGACTTGGAAGTCCTATGTCGTCCTATTGTCGGCGGGAGGGGGACTGGGAGAAATTCTGGAAACTGCTCTGGGACCCCCAACAAAGCTGGAGGGCAGGAGGGGTACACCATGCTTCTCCTCTCTGAGGAGACCCACTCTCTCCCTTCCAAGTGTCCCTTGCCCTCTTCTTATCCCTCAAAACACTGTGCCTGCAACCCTGAGCAGCATGTCTGATTCCTCTGGTGTGATGGCAAGAACCATGAGAAAGGACACTGGGGCCAGCTCAGCTCTGACGACCATCACCCTGTGACATCTGGAACGGAGCACCAGGCCCTGGTGTGCCTGCAAGCACGCTGCCACTGAGGGGGTCCCAGGGCCTCTGCTATCTGGAACAGTGAAGTTAGGCATGTCTGCCTTTGGGAGCCACCACATCCAATTCACATACTCACAAGAATTGTCTGCAGCTGTAAACACATGAATTGGCAATTAAACCCTAAACACCTTATTTTAAGAACTCTGGGGATTGACTAGAAAATAGATTTCTTAAACCCAAGGGATTATCCTAGCTGCATCCAAAATTCCCCACATTTCCCTTCTGTTAACCCGCCCCACCCCCACGCACACACCTTAGAGGCCCCAGTGCTGGAACACTGTCTCTCTCCTTTTGCAGTCAGCCTCTCTCAGGCTGTGGCCCCTTAGCCAGCCGACCAAGCATGCTACTGTGCTTAGCCAGATTCTTCCTCACACCCCTCTGTGAGCTTGCCTAGAGAGCTCCATGCAAGCCTCAAACACTTTCCGTATAAAGTGAATAGGTAATGGAGTAAGCTTTCCCTTTCCCAAGTCCGCAGGACTGCCTTCTCTGTCTTCCTACCACTGAGCTGTTCCCCTGCCCTGAGTTTAGGTGAACCAAGATCTAATCTAAATTCACGCATTATTTTCATAGGTACTTTTATAGATAGCTTCAATTGCCTGGCAAACTTTCTTAAGCCACCTTAATTTACAGAAGCAAGAAAAAATTCTAGACTAGTTGCCATGATTCCTAATATCATATAGTCAGAAAATATTGTGGGACTGGCAATTCTAGAACAAAGGTAGACAGAAAGTGATGCATAAGCCGTGTCCACCCACCAACAGTGCAGACAGAATATAGCCCTCTCACTGCCACCTGCTCCCACCTGGCCCTTCCAGAGGACACTGCAGGTCAGAACCAGATAAGCAGATGGAATCCCTAGCACCAGAGTCCCAAAGAATAAAATCCCTAAAAGTCTAAATTCCCCGAAGAGCAAAATCCCCAAAATCACAATCCTGAAAGAATAAAATCCCAAATGTTGAAATTCTGGAAGCACAAATCCCCAAACCCACAATTCCCACTAGAAAACAAAACAAAACAAACACAAAAACAAGCCAACATAGACTAAGGGAAGCAGGGGGCCAGGGGCCGTGTGCGCTACCTCACCTTGTCCTTTCACTCACAGCACGAGACCTGCCTTCAAAACCAACTGTCCTCAGGGCCTGAGACAGCAAGCAGAAGACCCTGCATCCAGGTGCTGCAGACACGCAGTCCTGCACCCTGCAGAACACACAGAGTGGCCAGGACTCTTGGTCAGGCACTTGGCTATCAGAGACAGGTTCCCATCTTTACCACGTCATCTAACAGGAAAACTGGAGCTGGCTTCATGTGGTACTTTCACAACTGTCCCCACTGTTTTTTTTTTGGTTTTTTTTTTTTGGTTTTTTATCAAATATATAAAACTCATTCCACTCTTGGATCCAAATTCTGAAACTCATCTACTCTTTATATCTGAATGCTGGAATGAGTGAAGCACTTCCCTTCAGATGAGTGAACTGGTCATGTGGCATGGCCATGATAAAAACTCCAGTTTAAAAATACCACTTTTCACTGCAGGGTCATCGTCACCACATAATCCTTGCACTGTTTTTGTTTTCCTAATCATGGCATGACACCATTCTGCTCCTAATGCTGCTGAGAAGGTGCATAGAGCAGCAAGTGTTCAACAGTGGCAGGTGGACCTCTGCCTTCGGTGCACTGCCAGCAAGGTCCCCTTAGAGTGCTGCAGTGTGTGCATGGGTCTTACATGAGGGGTCCTAAGGCAACCGCCACAGGGGCACAGAATCTCCAAGCACAGGAGAGTAAACTGGGAAAGTTCATACTTCACAACACTGCAGTACATTTTTTCAAAAGCAATACTTCAATTATAATGCACAAATCAACAACTAATGTGTTAATATTTTTTCCCCAAACTGGAAAAATGTTTGCTAAACCGTCAAGAAAAAAAGATGTGAGTCTGTACTTAACACATATTCACAAGTATTCCTTGCATCCTTACCTTGCACTAAAGATACTTTGGTAATATGATTTTTAAGAAATAGCCGCAAAATGTTTTTAAGACTAACCTTTAATGATGGTCACACTCCAATTTTTTGCAAGAAAAAAAAAAAGAAAAGAGGGACTGGGGCAGTAGCTCAGTGGCAGAGCACTGGCCTTGCATGTGTGAGGCACTGGGTTCAGTCCTTAGTACCACATTAAAAAAAAATAAAAATAAAAATAAATAAAGTCATTCTGTCCATGTACTACTACAAAAACAATTTTTAAAAAAGGCGGGGGTGGGGGGTCGGGCTGGGGTTGTGGCTCAGTGGTAGAGCGCTCACCTAGCACATTCGAGGCCCTGGGTTTAATTCTTGGCTCCACATAAAAATAAATAAAATAAAGGTTTTGTGTCTAACTACAATTGAAGAATAAATATTTTTTAAAAAAAGAAAAAGAAAAAAACAGGCATAAAACCTGTGATGATTATGAGGTGAAATAGTGTTGGGCTGAGGTAGGGAGCTTTTCTAGCAAGCAGTGCAAAAAAACCCAAATAAATAAAAATTAAATAAAAAAATATTAACTGTCTGCATAGGCATTCCTTTCAGCTGATGGCTTTCCAGGAGCTTTTAAGAATGAATTAAAGTCACATTGCCCAAAGACACTGGTAGTTACTGACTGCTTCAAAAACAAGCAGGATGGGCGGGGCTGGGGCTCAGGGGTAGAGCACTTGCCTGGCATGTGTGACGCCCTGGGTGCGATCCTCAGCACTGCATATAAATAAGTAAAAGATCCACTGGCAATGCCCAGCGGGTGATCTGTGTGAGTGCCCTGGCATAGACGTCCATGTCCTCACAACAACCAGGAAGCCAGGCACAGAAACGGAGAACTCAACAGGGAGGGCTCTGGCAGTGTACGTCCATCGTGGAGGGTGTGCGGAAGAGCAGCACCAGCAGAAGAACACGAGGAACTAGAGCCCACGGTGGCTCGAGGACCATCTACCCTGTGACACACTTTTTGGATATGTCAGTGCGGGGAGCCATCTGTGAAAAACACAGGAGGATCTTCTCTCCACACGAAGCCAGGGAGATTTTAGGTTTAGCCTTTGGAACAATCCTTAATAGATTGCCCAAGGCACATGACCTTTATCTTCACTTTGTTAGGAAGATTCTCATGGTCACTCAGGAGATGGGCGTAACCTGTTGGGAAATGGACAGCTGAAATGGACGTATGAAAAAATGCTCATCATCTCTAGCAATCAGAGAAATGCAAACCAAAGCACTCTAAGGTATCATCTCACTCCAGTCAGAATGGCAGCTATTAAACAACAAGTGTTGGCGAGGATGTGGGGAAAGGCACACTCATACACTGCTGGTGGGACTGCAAAGTGGTGCAGCCAATATGAACAGCAGTATGGAGGTTCCTTGGAAAACTGGGAATGGAACCACCATTTGACCCAGCTATCTCTCTCCTTGGACTATACCCAAAGGACTTAAAAACAGCACACTACAGGGACACAGCCACATCAATGTTTATAGCAGCACAATTCACAATAGCTAAACTGTGGAGCCAACTTAGATGCCCTTCAGTGATGAATGCATAAAAAAATATGGCATATATACACAATGGAATTTTACTCAGCAATAAAAGAGAATGAAATCATGGCATTTGCAGGTAAATGGATGGTGTTAGAGAAGATAATGCTAAGTGAAGTAAGCCAATCTCAAAAAACAAATATCGAATGTTTTCTCTGATATAAGGAGCCTGATTCATAGGTTCCAGGGAGGGAGAGCATGGGAGAAATAGATGCATTTTAGATAGGGCAGAGGGGTGGGAGGGAAAGGGAGGGGGCAGGGGACTAGCAAGGATGGTGGAATGTGATGGACGTCATTATACAAAGTACATGTATGAAGACTTAATTGGGTGTCAACATACTTTATATACAAATAGAGATACAAAAATTGTGGTATATATGTGTACTAAGAATAGTAATGCAAAAAAAAAAAAAAAAGAATAGCATTACCCTAGATTAGGTAGAGGGAAGTGAAAGGAGGGGAAGGCAGGGATGTGGGGGTAAGAAAGGTAGTAGAATGACACAGACATTATCACTGTATGTATGTATGTGACTGTATGACCAACGTGATTCCACAGTATGTATAATCAGGAAAATGAGAAATCATATCCTATCTATGTAGGATGCATCAAAGTATCTAAGTGCATTCTACTGTCACGTATAACTAATTAAAACAAACAAAAAAAATTTAAAAAAAGAAAGAAAAAAAGGAGCTGCCCCGTTCTCTATAGCCAGCAAGCAGAGAAAGAGTTCCTCCCATCAGGGACGAAACATAACCCACAGGCACGCCCCAGTGGCCTACTTCCTGCAACCACACCTTACCTGCCTTCAGTTGCCACTCATGGAACCCTTATCAGGGTTATTAGGTTACAAATAGAGTATACTAGGTTATATACATATGTATATAGATATACATATTAGGTTACAGATCTCAGAACCTAATCATCTCCCCTCTGAACATTCTTGCACAGTCTTACATGTGAGCTTTTGGGGGACACCTCATATCTAAACCATAATAGCCTCCAAGCAAACTTTCTAAAACCAAAAAAAAAAAAGATTAGTTTATTCCTTTATTAGGAAAGATAATGAGAGGAATTCTTTTCACCTGAAAAAGGTAGCTTTTAGATACTCAAACTAGTATAAATACTATTGGTATTAATGATGATATTAAGTCACAAAATTGAAGAAGCTTGTTTTAGGCCAACCTGCATTTCATTTTGGGGGTAGGGTTATTGTTTTGTTTTTTTTTTTTTGTAGAGTGCATTTTGACATACTGAATATACATGGAGTAGAACTTATTCTAATTAGCATCCCATTCTTGTGGTTGAACATGAGGTAGAGTTTCACTGGTCGTGTATTCAAACATGAACACAGGAAAGCCATGTCTGATCCATTCTGTTGTCCTTCCTATTCTCATCCCCCCACTTTCTTTCATTCCCCTTTGTCTAATCCATGAATTTCTATCCCCCCCCCCTTATTTTGTGTTAGCATCCACATACCAGAGAGAACATTCAGCTTTTGACTTTTTTGGGAGTGGCTTATTTCACTTAGATTGATAATCTCCAGTTCCATATTTACCAGAAAATGCCATACTTTCATTCTTCTTTATGACTGAGTAATATTTCATTGTGTATATGTATCACATTTTCTCTATCCATTCATGGGTTGAAGCACACTTAGGCTGGTTCGGTAGCTTAGCTATTGTAAATTGAGCTGCTATAAACATTGATATAGTCTAGTCCATTTACCAAGTGACATACAAAGCCACTGATTTGTAGTGGGGTCCAGACCAAAAATGGCTCTACACTAGGTCCAGGCTTTTGCAAGATGTTTGGCCACTTGGCCCATATAATCCAGCAGGTCCAGTGTAGGCCCCGGAGGAGAATTGTATCACAGGCCTTTAGGAATTTGGAACAAGCCCTTGCCATCATCTGCAGCTAACTCATCTCCTTGGTTTGCTACTGGGCCTTTTGGAGAGAATGAACACTTGATCCTGGGCCACCACATTACCATGCAATCTGCCCATCATGAACCGCAAGCCAATGAGCCAGTAGCAAAATTTCGGATCCCTGTATGCACAACCTCATGTTTCACTAGTCTGAAGGTCTCAGTTCCAGAAGAACAAATGCTTTCACCAGGAGACATAGCATGATTCCGTTAGATTGGAAGCTATGAACTGGAAGGTATGCTGCTTGAACACTTTGGGCTCTTCATGCCTCTGAGTGAACAGGCAAAGAAGGAGGAGCTACGCTATCGACTGGGGTGATTGATCCTAAACTGCAGAGGAAAGGGGAATAAGTCTGGAATACCGAGACACTACAGTGTGTGGTAGTCGTACTTGTGTCCTGTGACCAGGTCACAATTCCCACAGAACTGAACATGGCCCAGATTCCTCGGGAATCAAGGCTTGGGTGACTCTGCCAGGTGAAGAACCAGGGCCAGCTGAGGGCCTGCTGAAGACAGGGGTAACAAGTGGAGGCAGAACACCAGCCATCACCACGCACCAGTTACAGAGCTGAGCCTCTAACTGCCATGAGCACTTCCCCTTCCTGAATGTGTGTGGACAGACATTAACACGCAGTGTATTCATTTTCTTTCCTGTCACATTCCCTTGTCATGTAACATGGAATACACTGACTTTCATTAGTATGAAATTATTGCTAATTTTACATCATAGCATTTAAGTGACAGGATAAGAAAAGTGTAAACCCCACTCAAGGACCTTATCTCCTATTCTGGGGAAGAAATCATGGGATGTTGGGTTGTATACAGGTTCTTTGTATCACATCAGGTAGAGTTTTGACACTGTGATCATCTCTGGATGGTCTTTGTTTTAAGGAGATCTGTACGGATGCTCACTTGACAAGTAGACTTGGGTTTTAGGTGTCCACTTGACTGTGCTAAGCTCCAACGCTGTTAAGTCATGTCTGGTTGTGTCTGTAAGGAAGCTTCCAGAAACTGCAAACTCATGTGTTAATTGACTGAATAAATAAGGTGACCCTCACCAATGTGAGTAAGTATCATCCTCTGTTGAAGGCTGAACAGGGTGAGAGAGGGAGGAAGGCTGACTTTTCTCTCTGCCTGAGCTGAACACTGTTGCTCCAGGTCCTGGACTGGGACTGGGAGTTGGGCCATCAGCACCTCTGGCTCTCAGGCCACGGGATCCAAACTGCACTACAGCACCAGGCTTCCTGGTTCTGCAGCTGAGACTCAGCAGAGTTGGGGAGCTTTGGACCTCTGTAGTCCCATGAGCTGATTCCCATAATGAACTCACACACACACACTCATACACACACACACACACAGTTTTTCTGGAAAATACTGATAAAATACTACTATTGTACATATCTATCAACTTATCCTGATTTAATTATTTTGTGGTGCTGGGGATTGAACCAAGGGCACACCGGGCAAGTGTTCTTTGACTAAACTCTACCTACCCCCAACCTACCATCAATATTTGCTGGACTTTGGTTTCTACTGAATGAGCTTGGAACTTCTTCAGTGGCTCCATTCTATATGAATTAGCAAACTTTAACTTTGCCAGGGCACTCTTCCATTCTTTACCTATATCAGCGATAGAGTCATCGAACGGCGGTTCCACATACTGAACATCATGAAAAGAGTCTCTTAGTCTTTCTCTTAAGATCTGGGCATACTGAGGTGGGGAGAGATGGGAGGGAGAGACAAATTAATTTTTAAATTGTCAAATGCAATTTCAGATTGAATAACCCTGATACAGTGGGATAGGCATGACACAAAGCTTGGTATGGTCTGGATATGAGGGAATCCCTCAGAAACGTTCGTCTGAGACAATTCGTAAATGCTCAGAAGTAAAATGACCAGGAGATCTATATCCTAGTTAGTGGAGAATCGACTTGATGGGTCAATAGTTTGAAAGGACTGCTGTACTGGTGAGAGCTATAGGCAGTAGGGTGTGGCTGGGGGATGTGGGTCACTGGGCTGGTGCCTTTGGGGTTCATATTTTATCCCTGGTGAGTCACTTTCTGCTTCCTGGCTTCCCTGAACTGAACACTTTTCTCTGCTTTGCCCTCCCACCATGGTATTCTGCCTCAGCCTGGGACCAAAGCTATGGAGTTGGTCAACCATGGGAAGAACCTCTGAAACTGTGAGACAAAGCAGACTTTGCCTTCTCTAAGTCATTCTTGTCAGGTATCTTGGTCAGGACAACACTAAGCTAACTCACACGGAAACTGGCACTGATCAATGAGGTTGTTGCAGTTACTAACTTGACCATGTGTTTCGAAGCCTTTGGAACCAGTTTTCAGGAGGAGGTTGGAAAAGTTTGGAGATGCAGGCTGGAGAAGCCCTAGCATTTTATAAAAGCAGAGCTTAATGAGTGATTCTGGTGGGAACGCAGAAAATGCTGAGAGAAAATGCAGACAGTGAAGACTGTGTTCTTGACGTTTGAGAGGGGGTCAGGAAGTATTGAAAATTGAGGCCATTCGTGTCACATTCTGGCCAACTGGTCTACATTTTTGTCCTGAGACTTCTTGTGAGTCTGAGTTTAAAGGTGACGGACTGACCAGTCTGGAGGGGAATTTCAAGGCAGCATATCATTCAGGCACTGGCATGGGTATTGCTCTGGCTTATTATCCCAGTTACTCTAAGAATTTGGAGCAGAAAGCAGAGGACAGAGATTTTTTAAAATTGAAATTTGGCCAGAAAAGAGCATATAAAACTGGAGCCACAGAAGCTGTGGTGGCTGATGAGATGACCACCACTAGAGACAAGTACTTCGCACAGAGACAACAGAAAAGGTGTCTCCGGAATATCTCAGGAATTGGCAAGACCACACCAATGGTAGGCTCAAGAACACGAAAATGAAGACTTCTTTGAGAAGAGAGCCTGGGGGCACCCTGCTCACATAGGGGTGCCTAGAAAGCTGTTTCCCACTCAGGCACTTAGAAGCCACTGCTGTCATGGTCCAAGAGGGCAAAGCTACCGCTTGAGTTGGCAGTAGATGTTGGTATCATCCGTATGGTGCTGGTTCTGCAGGAGTGCAGGGTCATAGAGAGTGGAACAGGGTCAGGTTCCCTGCAGGCAGCCCCTGAGAGGGTGATGTGTGAAGATGCAGAAGGAAAACGGAAGGTACAGTGGCTTCTACTGGGATCAAGAGACTCCAATAATATGGAATGACGATTGAGGAATGACACTGGCCACAGATAGAACCTGTCTAAGAGAGACACCATGTGGGCTGCACCTGGCAGGACCAAAGGGGTGGGGCTGCCCAAATCCTTTAGATGGGACATATTCCACCATGTGCCCTAGATGCCAGACATGGTATCTGGGTTTCAGTACTGACTTGGTCCCATTCTTTCTGTCCCTGTTCCTTCATTTTGAAATGGGAATGTTTACTCTGTGACATCATGGAGTGGATCTATGTAACTTGCTTTTGAGTTTTACATGAATTCACAGTCAAGAATATACCTGAGTCTCAGGAGACTTTGGACTTGGACTTTTGGGCAATGCTGGAACTATTTAGACTATGGGGCTCTTGGAAATGGACTAAATGTGTTTTGCATTATGTGATGGGCATGGGCTTTGGGAGGATAGGGTGGAATATTATGGTGTGGATATGAAGAATCCCTGAGTTTGTGATTAGATTATGAGAGTTGTAAACTCATGGGTGGATTAATTCATTTGATGGATAAATCCACTGATGAGGTGGGTTGATAATTATTTATTTAATCTGATTGATGGACTGATAATAACTGGGGGGTAACTTAGGCAGGTAGGGTGTGGCTGGAGAAAGCAGGTCACTGGGGGAAGTCTCGGGATTTCATGCACGGCCCAGTGCCTTCACCGCTCCTCTCCTTTCTGACTGCCCTCAGTGGCGCGTCTCTGCCATGCCCTTCTGTCATTGTGTCCTGCCTTATCTTGGGCCCAGAGCCGAAGTCGGTTCATGATGTACTGAACCTCGGAAACCAGGAGCCAAAGTAAACTTCTCTTCCTATAAATTGCTCTTTTCATATATTCTGGTCACAAAAATGAAAAGCTGACCATGATTTTCAGGCACAATTTTCAAAAATCTGTTACAAAAAACGTATGAAAATCTGTTATGAAAACGTAGTAACTAAATCCTACATTTACTCTTAGCTATCAACTTGGTGTAAACAGAAGAAATGAATCCTGGTGTTTCAGTCAGCCTTTTTCCTCTCTGACTAGAGGAACTGACCAGAGATGGACAGGGTCAGGTTCCCCTGGAACCTCCTCCATGGAGGAGGAGAAGCTTATTTGAGGTCTCACGGTTTGAGAGGTCTCAGTCCATGGGCAGCAAGCTGCACTCCTCAAGGTTCATGACAGAAGAGTGTGGCAGAGGGAAGCAGCTCACATGATGATCAGCAAGGGGAGGGAGAGAGAGATTCCATTTGCCAGATACAAAATACACACCCCCAAACCACGCCCTCCAAGACCTCCAGTCTCCACTCAGTTAATCCCATCAGGGATTAACTCACCGATTGGGTTAAGGCTCTTATAACCCAATCATCTCTCCTCTGAGCCTCTTGCATGGTCCCACACATGAGCTTTTGAGGGACACCTCACACCCAAACTATAACAACTTGTCTTTTTACGCACATGCACAAATAGACCACGAAAGATGGGAAGAACTGGAAACAAAAGTGGCCTCCAGAGAGGATGACGGAACAGCTAGGGCACAGGGGCATCAGGAAGACCTTTCACAATCCTTGCCCCAACATGATGAAAACATTATCCGTCATTGCACCAAACATATTTTACTTTTATTTGTCTCTGAATAATACAATTATTTAGAAAACACAATCATAGCCTCAGGTTGAAAATATAATGAAACTGAATTGATTTGACATAAGTCCATGATTTTCAGGCACAATTTTCATTTTCTGACATCCACATGCATGAAGGAGATGTCTACTTAGAGCCTAGTATGCTCCAGATGAATACTCTTAATAGCCTATTAAAATGGTGACCTTCATTTTGTAACATCCAGACATTTTTTCTTACCTAATTGCTTCGCTAGACCTTTCAGTTCTGTTAAATAAAAGTAGAAAATAGATATCCTTTCCTTGCTCTTGATATGAGAGAACAGACTTTCAGCCTCTTACACTTCAAACATTTTACCACTGAGTAAGATGTTTGGTGTGGGCTTTTCGTATACACGGCTTTGATAATACTGTTAGTTGCTTTCCCTTCCTGATTTCTCCAGTGTTTGTATGATGAAAGGAAGTTGCATTCTGTCACTTGCCTTTTCTTCATCCATTGAGATATGCATGGTATATTTCTTTAGTTGATTTATGTGATGTATGATTGGCAGATTTTCATATGTTGAAGAATCCTTCCATTTCAGGAGCTAATCCCACTTGGTCATGGCATATGATCCTTTGAACATAATGCAGAATGCTAATTTTTAAAATGTTTAGTTGTAGATGGACACAATACCTTTATTTCATACATTTATGTAGTGCTGAGGATCTAACCTAGTGCCTCACGCTTGCAAGGCAAGTGCTTTACCACTGAGCCACAACCCCAGCCCCAGGATGCTAATATTTTTGAGATTTTTTTCATCAATATTCATATGAGATACTGGTCTATAGCTTTCTTTACTTATAGGGTATTTGTCTGACTTTGGAATCAGGGTAATGCTGAATTCACAGGATAAATGAAAAAGCACTCCTTCTGCTTCTTTTATCCTCTGAAAAGGATTGTAGAGAATTCAAATAATTTCTTCCTTGACAATTTGGTAGGATTTATCAATTAACCAATCTAGGTCTGGTGGTTTGTGTTTTGGAAGTTTATTGATTCAATTTTTTATTCAATTAAACATACTTTTATAGGCCTATTGATATTTTCTATTTCTTTTTTGTGTGAGATCTGGAAGATTGTGTCTTTCAAGGAATTGCTCCATTTCATCTATGTAATCAAACACGTGGATACTGAACTGTTCACAATATTCTTTCATCATCTTTTTCATGTTCACGAGATCTATCATCAAGTATTTCTTGTATTTATATCAGACCTGTGCCCTCTCTTCATGGTAGCATGCTTAGAGGCTTACTGCTGTTAGTGATATTTTCAATGAAACACTTTTTAAAAAAAATCTATCGAGTTCCTGTTTTCAATTTTATTCAGTTCTTCTGCTTTGAATTTAATTAGCTCCGTTTCATAGTTTAAGACGAAAACCTAGTTCCATTAGATTTTTCTTCTTCTGTAATATTTTCCCCTCCACTTTATTCTTTCTTGCATTGTTTCTGAGAGGTGGATATAATTATATCTTCACTAAGTGTTTTCTCCCTCTGATTTAATTTTTCTAGTTTGAAAATTATATGCTTTAGTTTTTTTTTGTTTGTTCATTTTTGGCATTTTTCCTGCTCTGTATTTCCTAATCTTCCTGGATCTGTGTTTTGGTATCAACTATTATTCTCAGTTATCATTTCTCAAATACTTCCATCTGTTCCTTTCTTTATTCTTCTTGTGGTATTTCTGTTGTGGTTAACTTACACAGTTTGTAGCTCTACCATAGTCCTTGAATATTCTTTTTTAGTCTCTTTTCAGGTTTGGAGGTTTCTATTGATATATCTTCAAGTTCAGAGGTTTTTCCTTAGCTGTGTCCAGATTGTTAAGTTATAAGCCTAGAAAGATAGTCTTCATTTCTCTTAGAAGTTTTGAGCTCTAGCATTTGGGGGAGGGGTCCTTAGGATTTTTTTCCATTGTTCATCTATTATGCTATTTTGTGAAGTATGTTCCCCAACACATTAATCAGTTTGAAATTTCCTGATAATCCCCATCTGTTTATCTGTTTTAATCTTTTGGTATGCCTTTCAATTTTTTCTTTATAGCCATACATGACTCGGTAAAAAGAACTATTGTCAATGGGCCTCCAGTAATTTGATGGTAGTGGACAGGAGGAAAGGAAGCATTACATAGTCCTATGATTAGATCAGGTTTTTAGTGAGCCTTTGCATCTGGACTATGAATTTCACCGTGCCCCCCACGTTCCCTTAAATGAAACAGAATGGCTAGTAAGGGCTAGAATTCCTTTTACTCAGTGAGTTACTCTGAAAATTAACTAGTTCCTCCTGAGGGCAGCTCTTGTTAAGAACAGAATATTCTGGTGGATTTAAAAATGTTACCTATCCATGCTTTGCTTGTTCCTCTGCCAGAAGCATGAGGGAGTAATCTGCGATATTTATGGTTCAACTTCTGGAGATAAATCCCCCAAAAAGCAAGAGGGCCACATTATGTCCAAGTCCCTCTAGAATTTTTAACTCTGAAAATGAAAAACACCTAACTCCTAGCAATTCACCAATTACAACTCAGGTTTCCACACCCTGAACTTGGTGTCTGCAGGCTCTGTTCTGGTGTGCTGTGATTCTATCACTTGTCCATCACGCTAATTCAAGATGCAGCAAAGGTGTCCTACAACCTCACTTCTCTAACATATCTAAGAATATTTTTTCAGTTTGTTCAGCTTTTTACTACTTGTTAGAATGGAGAAATGCCTTTTAGTTCCTTATATCAAGAACTGCAAATGAGAATTCTTTGTTTTTAAAACATTTTAGCTGGGTATAGAATTCTAGGTATAGAATTATAGAATTCTAGAGTGAAGATAATGTTCAACTGCATTGTTTCTGCTGTTGTTTTGATGTTCTGTACATGTGTTTTTCCTAATTGCCTTTACATTTTTAAATCATTAGTTCAAGTATATCTTGACATGATTTTCATGTTTCTTGTACTTGGAATTGAGACTCTTAAATTTATGGGCTTACTGTTTTCATATTTGGAGATATCTCATTTTTTTCAAATATATTTTTATCTGTCCCTTCTCTTCATTTGAAAACTTAAATTACAAGAATGAGGCCACTTGAATTTAGAGTATAGCTCACTGCCATCTCCTAATATTTTCTTTCTAAATTCACTAATTCTTTCTTTTAATTCCATTAAGTGCATATCATCTCTGACACTGTATTTTTGCATTGTCAACTATAGAAGTCTCTTTCGGATTTGACACACTTGATCATTGTCTACATTCTTGGTTACATGGAATGTAATTGTCCTAACTGCTTTGATATAATGATTCAATTTGATTAAAACGAATACAGGAACTTGTTATTAAAACAACTTTAGTATCCTTGTATCCTATCTTTGTATGATTCCTGGGCCCATTTTTTTGTTTCTTCTCATTTTGGGATTTTTTTTCTTGTTTCTTTGTAAGTCTACCAACATTTATTTGAACACCAGACTCCATATTTCACCTTGCTATCTTTGTATTACCACAAACGTTGTTTACCTTTTTCCTAAGATGTAGGGATTTGGGAAGGATTTGATCCTCTTCAGTCTTGCTTTCCACCAGGAGAGACCAGGGAAATCTGGATATTTGCTTGCTGTTTTCCCCACTAATGAGGTGATATACTTAACACTACACTGATCACATGCCAAGACATGAAAAGTCCTAGGACCTTCCGTGCTCTTATCGGTGGGAGCATAACTATTTTGTGTGGGTCAATGTATTCACTTCTGTTCCTTTTGAGTGATGCTTTTTCTGATCTCAGGTGGTTTTCTTACCAAGTGAATTGAAAGACTAAGCTGAAGACTCAAGGAAACCGTCAGCAGCTCTCAAGCTGTTCATGCACCTTTTCTTTCTGATCCTCTGAGGTCTGATGCTATTTAAGGTAGCCTGGAAACTCATCAGGCAGTAAGGTGGAGGCAACATTGGGGCTCACATTACCTCTCTCCAAGATTTCTGTCCTGTAGTACCTGACATCTAACCAAATGCTCCATATATTTCCTGCACCATTTCAAGTAGTTTCTGGTAGGAGTTACTTTAAGTTGGCTTCAAGTAGAAGTTCATCAAATGTTATTTTGATCACCTCTTCTATGCCTCTTTTAATTGTTTAAGAGGCATTGTTTGCTCCCCAAATCTATTAAAAAGGGTCATTTTGTTAAGTTTATTGAGAGTGCTTCTTTAGTAAAAAGTGCCACCTTCCTTTTCACTACAATATACTGAAGGGATATAACTCCATTGCATTATTAACAGTAGCTCCCAATTGCAATGATTCTCATGGGTTTGGTGCACAAGCACTTTCTCAAACTAACCCTTTGAGACTATTCTGAAAATTACATCTCTGTCATTTCTTCTTTCTGTATAGGATTGGCCACCTGGTTTAGTAAGCTTTTATTAAAAGTATTTTACTCTTTTAAGAAACAGTCTTTGTACTCATTTTTTAAGACTCAATTATGTAGCCAGGCACAACAGTGCATGCCTGTAGTCCTAGTGGCTCAAGAAGCTGAGGCAGGAGGATAATGAGTTCAAAGCCAGCCTCAGCAACAGTGAGGTGCTCAGCAACTCAGTGGGACCCTGTCTCTAAACAAAGTACAAAATAGGGCACTCAGTGGTTGAGTACCCAAGTTCAATCCCTGGTACAAAAAAAAAAAAAACTCAATTAGAAATATGATCCACCTTTTGGTATCTACTAATCCAAGACGAGTTTAACTACTTCACTTACTGATGCAGCATCTCCTTACATCAAACTTACTTAACAGTCCCAGAATAAAATGAGCTTGCTCATTAAATGTCATTAATATTCATCTCAATGCTATTTGCTAATGTTTAAGGTTTTCAAATGCATATATACAAGACCTATCAATTTTGCAATCTAAATTTTTAGATCTTTACAAGCAGTAGAAATTGATTCTTGTAAAGCAAAAATGTAATATACAGGAGTAGTTGATAGACTAGAAGATTAGCACTAGACTCAGAAAGACACATGGGCGCTCTTCAGCTTGCATTTGCAATCTGGATCAACCTCAATCATTTTTTCTGTATCATTCCAAAGAACACATCTAACTGGCCTAATCTGGGCTTCATCCTCACTCCAAGGTAAAGAAAGTGGCTGTCAATTCCACTGAAACTTTCTCCAATGAGGGATGAGTTAGTTCTCTGAAGAAAAACTGAGGTGCTACCGATAGAGAAAAGACATGAATGCAGGACAGCTGAAGAGCTATTCATACTGGTTAAACTGATCCCTAAGTTATACTCAGAAATAAGGAAATCATCTACTACTTGAAAGTTAAAAATGACTACAAGTCAGTGTCCTTATGTATATGTAATGAACATTTGTAGAATGATTTGTTACTGGCCTATGCAAATCTCTTACCTCTAGAAGACTAGAGTTTAAAGATTATGTTTCATCATATTCATATCACATTGATATAAGACAGAAGAGGCTGAACACCCAAGGAATTTTCAGAAAGCAGGTTTATTGACTGCAGCTAGCCGATCCTGAGTGTGGTTCACGCATGAAATTCTCCTCTAGATCCCAAGTCTAGCAATTCTTTGGACTTTATACCCAGTTTCTTTTTTTTGGGGGGGGGGCTGGGAGATTTACATTTTGCAGAAGTCTACGTAAAAGTATATATATTTTTTCTTTGAGTTCTCAGAAAGTGCTTTTCATCCCAGTTCTTGGAACAGTCAGAGATTTTACAGGTTACACCACAAAAGCAGAGTAACAGCCATCAAGTTCACAGTTAAATTTAGTTTTTTGCAAGACCGAGCAGGCAAGAGGAAATAGGAGCCCTTTTGCAGAGATCTTTGCTGATATTTTGTTAATAAGAACAACTGTGATGAGGGTCTCTAGAGAAGCTTAATTAAGATGCACTGGTGGAGGAGGGGGTGCCACTACAACATAAGATGCTTTGGTGCATGTCCCCCTCATTCTGAGGTTAGCCTATATGCAAGTATAGCTCCATGTCTTCTCCTCTTGAATTGAGACTCATTCAAATTTCAATTTTAGTAGGCAATAAGTTTACAGCAGTCACTCTTGTCTGCAGTATAGAAAGTTTTCAATATGCAGAGTTTGGGAACATTAATTTTAAGTGCAACACAATTAGATTCCCAGCTTTGTTCTGCTTTGTCTTATTTCTGTGTGAATGTGGCCTACTTACTTTTCTTCTATTAATTTGTTCCTTCCTTTGCAAAAGATAGCCACCAAGCAGGCATTAGAAATTGCAATGCTGGCTTAGCATTTTTGGGAGGAGTTTGTGTGTGTGAGTTCTCACTTTTTTTTTTTTTTAACTTGGGAATGATCTTGAACTTTTGTGTTCTGCCTTGTATTTACATATGAATCCTACTGATGATGGGTTCTATGATGTAGGTGTGATGAGAAACCACTACAGGAGTTCCAGGACACAGGTTCTGGATCATTAACGTCTTGTATCCTTGAGCATTTTTTCCCCCTCCAAGCCTCAATAAACTAACTATATTAATGATTTTCAAAATCTGTTCATATGGAAATACTGTATTTTACCACTAATGAAAGTTGACGAACGCTCCCACTAATATCAAGCTAGCAGAAAATATTCATTTCATTCCCTGCATACATCCTCCATTCTGAGGCTGCTAATTCTTCAGCACTCCAAACGTCTCTCCTGCCAGCTTTCCCCCATGTACCTACGGTACACATATGCTCATCTGGCCGGCGACGGCGCGCTTCTGTGCAAAGCGGCTAACTCGGAGGTGGGAACTGCCCGCGCAGGTCGGGTGGGCGGGCCAGGGCGCTCGCGGCACCAGGAGGACCGGCGGGGCGGGCGGCACTCACTGCCTCCTTCTCGAACATGCTCGGCCTCCGATCCCTCCGGGGGCCCGGCGACGGCTGCGCAGGAGGGACCGGGCTGGTGGATGGCTTCGCGCCTCGACCTCGCTTCTCCATTCCGCTCCGCTCCGCAGGAAGGCGGGGCCTGCGCAGCACCCACCACCCTGACCGCCTCCCAACGCTTCTCCCTCTCGCGAGAGCGGAAGTCTCGTGCCGGAGCCCCGCAAGGCCGGAAGTGGCGCCACAGGAGCGCCAGGGACCCGGATGGCGCGGGAGAGGCGTACGTCATTCGCGTAGGCCTAGGCCCGGAGCCGGAAGTCATGGAGGTAGGCGGGCCTGCGCCCAGCAGTTGCTGAGGCTTGACGCTTTAGGTGGAAGCTGCGGGGGAATGGGTGGGTGCTGGTGCCTGGCCCGGGTGTGCGGGTCGGCTGGTGGCCCGTCTACGGCTGGACGCTGTGCGCACTGCGCGAGCCGCTGGCCAGTCCTCATGGTCGCCCCTGCCTCTGGCGTGCTGCCATGGCGCGGACGAGGCCGAGGCGGGCAGCAAGGGTCGTGCATCCCCGCAGAGAGGAAGAGAGAGGGAGACTGAAGAGAGTTTGCTTTCCCACAGAGGAGACAGACACCCACTCGGCGCCTGTGCGTCCCCCAGAGGGCAGGGGCGAGGGCTTTTCCGTCCCCGCAGACGGACCACGCCTCCGTCTCTGCGGAGAGGGGCGGGGCCCCCGGACTCTCCTCTGGGAGCGAGGGGCGGGGCCGCGGGGCTCTTCTGGGGCGAGAAAGGGGCGGAGCCACCGGCGTTTCCTCCGAGGGAGGGTCGAGGAGGGCCCACAGCACTCCTCTGGGAGGGAGTGCGAGGCCTCTGGGCTGCTGCTCAGAGAGAGGGGTGGGGCCACAAGGCTCCTCAGAGGGAGGAAGGGGCGGGGCCACAGATACTCCTCAGCGAGTGGGGGCGGGGCCGCAGGGTCCCCTGAGTGATAGGCTGGAGGCGGGGCCACAGGGCTTTTCTGAGAGGGAGGAGGGAGGTGCGCAGCCTGGAGCTCCTGAGCGGGAGGGTGGAGGCGGGGCCACAGGGCTCTCCTGGGAAAGCCTTGGAAGGGTCTGGGCGCCTGTGGGAGAGGCTGGCTGGCTGAGGTCTGGAGTCCCTGCATGAGTTGCTGGAGGGCGTTGCAGAACTCTGGCAGAATTCTAGCAGGAGACCCAGATCTGTGATTTCTCTTTTTTTTTCTATTCAAAGCCCATGCTCTGTTTTGGTTTTTTTTTTTTTTGCATTACAATTCTTAATACACCTTTATACCACAATTTCTGTGGTTCCTCTTTGATAGTGGAACAGGACAGTATGTGCTGCTAAAGTAATAGGTTATTTATTTTTATGACCAGGGGCAGTGCTAAGCCCTGGGCATGTTGGGTTGATGAGAAATGGTGAAAAGAATAATTCATAAAACTCATTGAACTTCCTTCTTTGAGTTATAGGGTCAAGAAGATGATTTAAAAATCTTTAGACATTTACTTTAAAGCTTTAAAATAAATTTGTTATTCAGAAAGCATGTTAAGAGCAGCTGACTTTAGTACATTCCATGCTTAAGGTAAAATTTTCTTGTGACTCAGATATAAAGTAATTAATATTACTCTCTTCTGCTAAACACTCTCTTTATGTTTTATTTTTCAGATGTTAGTAGGAGATCCCATTACCACATGTCTTTCTCCCTCAGTGTATGACATGATTTGTAAACTTGGATTTGAAGTAAGAGGAAATTGTGATTTCAATAACATTGTAACCGAAAATGGTGAAGTTTGCTGGAAAACAATCACAGACTGTGTGAGCTGTGCAGGATCAGGTTGGCTTGCCTTTGTACCCCACACCTCAGTTGCTCTGTTGGTTATAAAGTCTCCCTTTTTAGCCACAGCATCTTTTCTTTAAACTATGTGAAAACACATCCTCAGCCAAATTTGAAAAGGAGACAGCCTGAAAAGAGCAGGGTGAGGACAGAGAAGTGTGAGGTCAAGTGTGCCTGGGCTGGATACCTGGGGTGGGCAGGACTTTCAGGAGTTAGGCTGGGTGACAGGCTGTTGGTAGGTCTGAGACCCCAAGAGGAGAACCGTTTGAGTGATTCATTGCTATGAAGAGTATGGAATGGCCAGTGGTAGACTCAGCAATTTTAAATGTCCTCCTTTAAATTTTATATCTGTATATTTGGAGGGAGAAGGATATGAGCTGGGAAACTTAGTAACATCTGTAAAAATTGCAAATGAATGTATTCTGGCCTGCCCAGTCAATTTCCAGGGATTTATAAGAAAATTGCACTTGTGGATATGGAGCACTGTGTGTCCTACTAAATAAACAAATCAGTAATCTGAAGCAGCCAGATATAAAGCAGTAGAGGACTATTTTAGTAAGTTATGATAAATGCTTATAGTGGAGTATTATGACCTGATAAAAATGGAGGCTCATCTGATGCAGAATTCTTTCTGAGCTAAGTGAGAAAAATAAAGAAGCATAGATTTATAGATATACTCAGAAAAATAATAGCAGTAGATGCAACAGGGAGGAGAATTGGGCACCACGTGGGAGGCTTTCACCCTTTTGTGTTTTTCACAAAATGTTCAACCTCAAACTTATTAAACAGTAAAAACAAAAATTTATATTACAAATATGTTTTGAAACAACTGATTGGCATTAGAAATCTCAGATTACAGGGGCTAGGGTTGTGGCTCAATGGTAGAGCACTTGCCTAATGTGTGAGGCACTGGGTTCAATGCTCAACACCACATAAAAAAATAAACAAAGGTGTTGTGTCCATCTACAAATTTAAAAAATTTTTAAAAAGTCAGATTACATTATTATAATGTAATCCCCCCTCATCCTTGGGGCATGTGTTTCAAGACCCCCAGAAGATGCCAAAACCATGCATAGTGCTGAACCTTATGCATACATTGTCTTCTCCTGCATGGTCTGCAGTACTGCCACAGGGTGCCAGTTCGTTGTCCTTCCACGTTTCTTTCCCTGAAGCCTCCTTTGCTTCATTGCTTTTGTGCTTTGGGGCCATCACTATGTCTGATAAGGGTTCCTTGAAACACAGCGCAGTGATAGCACCAGTAGAGCTGATAACCACATGGCTACTGAGTGACACGTGAGTGGGCAGTGTCTGCGGAATGGATGTGCCGGACAAAGGGGTGAGATTGGGTGGGATAGTGCAGAATTTCCTTATGTTGCTCAAACTAGTATGCAGTTTGAAAAAGATGAGTGGTTATTTCTGGAATTTTCCATTTAGCATTTTTGTACTGCAGTTGACCCTAGATAACTGGAACTGTAAGGACTATTATGTACAGTGTGACTTAATGTAAACTAACATACAGGAAATGACACTGAATAAAATATCTGTCTCCTATTTGAATATTTCTGTATTTTGCAAATTTTTCACTAGTGATATATTTTTCTTTTATAATCAGATAAGCATCATGTAATTTGTTTTCGCTAATTTTATCTATGTATGTTCAGTTATTGATTGTGTATAAATTTCATGATTAAAGCATTTCTTTTCATGGCTCAGACATTTCCCATTGATTGGTGTGAGATGTGGTACTGAAGCTTGATTCTTGTCCTTTCAGACCAGAGTCTGGATTATCAGGCGAGCGTAAGGCTGCTGGGCCCTGTGTGTGAGGCCGTCCATCTCCACTTTTTATCTTTGACCAAGGGGCAGTTTGAAATTCAATATATACCATGGTTCCAGTGGACAAGTTTTCCAGAGGTTTGGCTTTTATACACCATTAGAAATAAAAGACTGTAAATATCACTTGGAGACCCTTATTACTTGCCAATTTTGAAGCGATCTCCTCCATCGGACCCTTTAGCTACACAGAAGGCTTGGGGGTTGCAAGAGAAACCTGAATTACCATGAATTACCATGTAAGAACCAGAGCTGAACCACACACCCCTTTGAGCAAAGGCAGGTTTTGGACTTCATAGAACCAGGAGTTGGCAGGGGGTAGTGCTTAGTACAGGGCTGCGTATGCTGCGACAGAAGAAAAGTGGACCACTTCAGAACACAGTCCTTACAGAGAGGTGGTGTGGTGTTGCTAGGAGACCAGAGATGAGGTGCTTGGTTTGTGAATGGTGAGTTGAAGGAAGGATAGGTGGTTTGGGGTCCAACCTAAATCTTGTTTTTGCTTTTTTGTTAGGTTTTCTTTGTTTTTCAGTTGACATTAAATGACCACCATAAAGCAGTATTTTTAACAAGTCTAATTCTGAAACAAATTGAATTTCCTAATTTGAAATAGGAGGATTATTTCTTCTGTATTTGTAGCAGTTCTTTTAAGTGTAGATTGAGCTGCCTTATGTTTATCTGTTTATTAGGAACTAAACCTAATCATAGTGGGAATGAAATATAGGTCAAGATGTTTGACTTTTCAGTTCACAATTATGCCAGATTTATAGTTTTTGATAAGCATCTAATAAAAAAAAAAAAAACTTTGAAAGAACTCCCTGAGCATTAAAGTGTTTTTCTTGACTTTTAGGCACTGTAATAGTTAAATAAAAATATTTACTTATACCAAAAACATTTTAATATAGTTGAAATCTTCACAGATTGAAATGTCAATAAGTAGTATTGTTTATAGAAATGATTCTTATTGAATGAGTTCTAATATGTATATTATTCTAAATAGTTGTTTCCTGAAATATTTGATGCCTTGGGAAGCCTACAGTCTCCTGCCATCTCTCTTAGTTTAATGAAGTTGACCTCATGTCTAGAGCGAGCATTAGGTGATGTAAGTGAGAAAACTGTTTTGTTACTGGGTCCATTAAATTATGTGTATGAATGTGAAACTATTCTTAAGTCACCTGTAAGATTTCTTGATTTGAGTTATTATTTTCCTATTAAATACAATAATTTGTTATCTAGATTGTCATTGTTTTTCTTTTTTGCGTGATTATGAAATCATGACATTTTTGTCAAAAGTATTCTACACCTTTGATTTGTGCATACAGCTGCTTTGTAGCGAATTCTCTTTCTTGCATCCATTGTCTCACAGTGTGGTTGCACAACTTTGTTTCTAGGTGTTCTTACTGATTGGGAAGGAATGCCCTTTTCTCTTAAGAGATCTGCTTGCCTCAGAGGAGCTTGCTCAGGTCTTCGGGCAGTCTGTGGTAAGCTCATTCACTTAAAACCTACAATAAGCCTGGTGCAAAGCACTTTTGTTCTTCCAGAGCACATTTTCCCTTTCAGAAGGGCTTCTCTTCCACCCCCACCAAAGGCTGCCCATACTGATTCTGATGGTGGTAGAATAACCTCTGGGGCCCAGACAAAGGGACAACTTGAGGCATATTGCTTTCATTTGTCACATATTTATTATTATAAACACAATGCAGAATATATTTTTTTTATATTTTTCTATTTTGAAGGGTTCTGCACCCTTCAAAATAGTGTTACTGAAGTTTTACTCTTGAATATCAATGTTTTAACATGTGGGAATTCATGTTCTCTGCAACCATTCAGACTTACAAGGAAAAAAAAATGAAACTGTTGATACGAAATCATTCAGAGCATGGACTTTTTAAGAATCTTCTAGAGGGCATATGACCATGAGACTTAAGACTCATAGGTTACCTTTAGGCTTCTGAGTGGGCAGGTCCAGCTAAAGGGAAAGCAGGGCACCCATGTAGGAAGCTGTATGGGCCAACAGAGCTGGTGAGAAGCTCTGGGTGCCTTTTTAGGGATGAGACATTGTTTCCAGTAAAGCTCTCCCACTGTATCCTGGATCTTTCCCCTGGTCAGCTTGGAGGTTTTTCTTTCTTGTGGAGCACATGGGACGAGGATACAGTGTAAACCTTGTTAGGCTGAATTCATGAACAGATTTTGTTTCTTTGGTATGTTCTTTGCTGACTGCCTTTATGCTATTAGTCTCTTGCCTACCTACTTGGCTTCTGATGATTGTCATTTTTGATTGCCCTCATGCTGTATGCCAGGAGTTTCCAGCGGACAGCAGAGACCTCTGAGGCTGCCCTGGAGTCCTGGCTGCTAAGTACTCTTATGTTAGGCTCAACATGCTGGTTCTGGTTCTGCTCTCTGTAGGAAGTTCAGAACACACTGCTTTCCTCTTCTCAGGAGCAGTTTCCCCTGCAAATGCAGACCAGTTTCACCTCTTGAGGTATGACCGTTCTTTCTCCTGGTTAGGGCTTGGTTTCATGATTCTTTAGTCTCAGTGGTTTCCATTGTGCTGGATCCAAAGTGTGGTGCTGCACAGCAGGGCAGGGTCCTGTAAAGGGTGTCCTCTTCACCCACAGAGAGGGCTAAAAGCAGGTGAGCCATGAACTGGGACCAGGAGGCAGCACACAGGACCTAGCTATTGGCCTGGCTGTGCCTGCCATCTTCTCCCTCTTGCCACATGTGCACATGCTACCTAGTGCCACGTTTCTGTTCATCAGTTTCTATTCTACTTGGTTTTTGGGCACCTTTGATCCATCATGTCAGAGCAGTATATCCTGTACCATCTTCCATCTCCGTGACTAATGTAGAGTGCCTGGCTCTGCACAGTGGGAAATGTCTAGTGCCTTCCTCCAGGGTGGTCCTGAGAATGGAGGAGCTCCTGGGTTGTGCAGACTGGGCCTGGCTCATGTTAAACACTCTATAACTATTGGGTTCATTATTATTACTACTTAACCAAGGTCAAAACTGTTGGATGTGTTAAGCAAAAAAGCAAACATCATTTCAGTATTGTATTGGTTTATCCCAAAATTTGGTAATGGCTTAATCGTTTAGTGGTCTGCTGTCTTTTCATGGACTAGATGAATGTGCTCAAAGTGTTCATTGGCTCTCCCTGTGGACTCAACCTGCGGAATGTCTTATGGCATGGATTTGCATCGCCACAAGAAATTCCCCCAAAGTAAGTGTCTGGTGAAGTGATTTTTTTTTCCTTTTTGATCTACTTAAGAGTTTGTTTTATCTTGAATTTTGTGAGAGGGAAAGATGCATTTTGTGAAAGGTCAGAGTTTCAGACAGGATTTTGAGAGCCTGTTGCAAGTTAATGTCAGAGTCCCCAAAAGTGAAAGGGCTTTCAAGGCTTGGAACCCCAGAGGCCATCCAGGTCTCCAGGGTGTGGTGGTGCACATTAAACACCACAGGTGGGGAGAAGACTCACAGTTCCTGAGATATTGCTCTTCTAGCTTTTGCCCAACTCAATCCCTACATCTAGAAAGAATTTTCTGCACTTCAGATTTGCTTTCTTAATTTTGAACTTTTTTTTTTAAAGTAAAGCTTTCTGTATATATGACTGATTCATTCTTCCAACATGTCTGTGGCATTTTCTCCCAGATACTGTTCAATGATGCTGCTGTTGACAGCAGGATTGGGTCAGTTACTCAAGAGTTACCTTCAACACACAGAGGTCACACTGGTACATCGATCTTTTGTAACTCTAAAAAACTTAGAAGATTTGATTGTTTTTCCTGGCAAGTACTACATTTCATATTCCCCGCCTTGGTGTGTCTTTGTGGAGGTGTTTGTAACTATCAGTAGCATCAGACCTGAAATTTGAGGTGGAATAAAGTCGTTGTTCTCCAGTAGCAAGATGGCTCTTTTTTTTTTTTTAATATTTTGTATAGTGTTAGGTGGGCAGCATGCCTTTATTTAATTTATTTATTTATATATGGCGTTGAGGATGGAACCCAACATGCTTCACATGTGCTAGGCAAGCACTCCACCACTGAGCTTCAACCCCAGCTCTGAAGAACCTCTTTCCTCCTCTCCAGAGCTGCTGTGGGGCTAAGAATCAGACTGCATGAATCAGGTCATGAGAGAGCCAGCCTGCTCCTCAGGCATGCTGATGCACAGACTGCTTAGGGTTTGTAGGGGTGTGTTTTTCTCCTTTACACCCCGAGTGCATTTGTGCTCCGATGGTTGTAGTGTGGCCTTTGTCTCTCCTGTCAACCCCGAGCCCTCCTGCAGTTGCTGTTTCTGGTCACTGGGGACAAGCAGTGGTCCCGTGCCCTTTGTGCAGGCTCCCTGAGGCCTCTGCACTCTGGCTGTGGATCAGATGGTCTTCCTCTTTGAGGGTTCTGCACCGCCACAGGGGTCTCAGTCATCTGCTTGAGGGGCTGATTTATTGGCATCTCTCCCCCAGTGTGTTCCCATCTTTTTCAGTTGCTTAGTGTGGCTGTATTTAAAGGTTTTTGCTGTTTTACAGATGTGACTTCTGAGGTACTTTGGGTACTAGAACGAGTGATGATGAAGTCCACCTTTATATTAAAAATCATGTTACCATATTGGAAATTTGCACTGACCAAGTTCACATCACACAGGTAACTGAAGGGAGCCTGGCAGTGTGCTCTGATGGTCGGAGGCCAGGCCTCCTCAAGGCACTGCACCCTCTGGCTCTTCTGCTGTTGGGTCGAAGTCAAGAGAGGTGGGGCTGAATTGAGAGTAGACCAAACATAAAACACCCTCTCAGAGGCACTCAGAAGACAGCTCGTAATTGTGTTTTAAACATTAGGCATCATCCTTTTGGTATAGTTGATGTTATTTTAGAATCAACTCTGCTAATTTTTGAGTTCTTCCTGTAAGAGAAACTTTGAGTCCAACATCGGAGAGCCATGGAACAGATAAGGAAGCTTGTTCCCCGGGAACAGACTCTGCACGAGAGCAGAGCATGTGCTCAACACGCATGGGCGGGGGCAGGGACGGCACAAGTAGGCTCATCTTTGTCCCTCTCTTCCCCGAGGGCTGCACCATGGTGCATTCATTGTTAAGCCTTCAAGCCCATGCATGTCTTTGTGTTTGAGTGATTTCAGAAGTGATGAAACAAGAGAGCTCTAGTGATCTTTTATTCTTCTGAAGCTACTAAATGTGGGTCATAAAACTATAAAATACCAGGAAATGTTTTTCGAATCACTAGTCTAATGAAACTTTGATTCTGATTTTATTTTTTTCTCATATTAGCAGGGGATAATACCACATTCAATACCACATTGGTTGAACCTGGACTGTAGCGTATTTATTGTGATATTCGTGCTGATGTTTATCTTTGAATGTGGAGTTTTGCTGATCTTTCCTGCGATTTCACAGGTTTGCTGACTGCACCATCTTGTTGCTGTCCCAGCTGGAGGCTGGACTTCGGAAGGTCTTCGCTGCAGTTAACCAGTGTCCAGACAGACTCCTGACTGCCGAGGTGTGTGTGTTTTTGCTACGTGATGTTGTTGCTGTGTTGGCAGTTTTCTGTGGCTAATTAAAAGTTCTAGAAAGTATTTATCCTATTGTATTTGTCATTCAAGTGAATTTTTTAGCTAAGAACTTTCTTTGGAAGCCTTCTCTATCCTTTTTTTGTGGTTCCTATTAACAGTACTTTTAAACAATTCGAACTTACTTGAATCATGACTGTTTGGGATAGTTTTCTAGTATTTCCAGATGGTCTTTTAAACTTGACGATGCCATGAAAGAACTGGCACTCTTCTCCTTCTAGCTATCTAGTGGCAGATGAATTCAGTCCCGCAAGGTGTTGTCACCCCAGTGTGGGCCAGTGAGTGGCAACACCACCGTAAACCCGTGTGCTCCTGACATGTCACCTGCCACATAGGCAGACTGGGATTGTTATCCAGCTCCCTGAGCTTTGGTTTCTTCACCTTAAAGAGTGGGGCACTATTGCCTTTGAAGGGAGTTGTGGGATTTGGGGTTGGCTTGTGTGAAGCACCTAGGAAAGCACATAGAACAGTTTTGTGCACACACTCATCTTCACACATGCATGTGCATACCACACAAGCATTGTTTGTGTGCACACTGGCATTGTTGCTTCAAAGTTTCACAGGAGCCCCTGGTGCCTTGTCTGAGCCAAGCATTTCTCAAGTTTCCATCCTCCCTCCTCTGGCTTTATAGTTTCTGCCCCTTCATAAGGGCTAAGATGAGCTTCTGCTGCTAGTGACAGAGGTCCCCATATATAGCATGACTGGAGATGGAAAAGAGGACAGGAGCACTTCTGCCCTGGTGAATAGAGCACCGTGCTGTGATGGTAGTGCTCCCTGGGCCTCTGCTGGAAGAGGCTGTGCCTGCCCAGTGAGCGGTTTCTGCCTGGTGTCTCCTGCCAGCTGTATCTACCATCATATCTGCATGAAGATATGCATGCACTTCCTGGAGACAGATGCCCTGCTCCCTCCTGGCTGAAGCTTAGTTGCCACTCACTGCCCAGGAAGTGGGGAAAGTTTGTGTGTGGTCTGGCTCAGAGTAGGAGTGTCAGTTGGTGGAGAAAGTGGGGGTGAGCATATTATGGGGTAAACGGAGCAGCCACCACACCTCAGAGTCTCATTTCTCCTCCTGGTTTAGCTTCTCCATGTGAGCATTCCTAAAACCTGTGTTCTCAACCCAGATTTTTATCCTGGGTTAGCCTTCACAATTGCATGCCATAAATTGTCACATTTCTGGGATCAAAGATAATTCAAACCATTTTTGAACCTAATGAAAATGAAAATTCAGCCTACCTGAGGTTTGTGTACACAGTGAAAGCAAGTCACAGGTGTTCCTGCCTCAAACACTTGGGACCCCCAAGGCATGGTCTCCACATTTCCTCAGTGCTGTCCCTGAATATTTTCACTGTTTTCCACAGAGACTTACGTTTGCTTTATTTAGAAAGGCATATCCCCCCCGCCCCCGCTCCCTGTTCTTGGATGTTCCTGTTGTCGCCCTCATAGTTGTAGTCTCTGGCACTACACAGCAGACTGCCTGTGCCTTCCCTGTAGTTTATCTCCTGGTCTCTTCTGACCACCTTACCCTCTCCTTGTTAGGCTGAGACCTCCCCAGCTGCTCTCACGTCCTCTGGGCTCATCTCCAGCTAGTCTTCATGGTCCTCCCTGCTCTATTCACATACCTCCACTAATTATTTTCTGAAAGATATTCTTAGGTTATTTGTGGTTTTCCACCTGCTTGGACACCTTCTTTGGTGCCTGCCAAGCGGGGTTCATGCTTCCCTTTGGTGTGTGGAGAGACCACCCACTTTAGTTTTGTTTCCTGTCTGACCCCCTGGCACAATAACAGCTCTTCTCAGTTCAACAAGGTGTCTGTCTCTTCTCAGGCTTTGCCCGTGGCTCCTGCCTGATGGCTCCAGGCCAGTGCCCTGGCCACAGTGACCTCCAGAGCCTCGTCTGCTCAAGTGACGGCTGCTCTTCTCTCTTCTGCTCTGTTCTGTCTTCTCTCTTCTGCTGTGTTCTGCCTTCCATGTATGCGTTTTAGGAGTCATATTCATGGCTCTTGAGACTGGGACCTTGCAATGCTGCCCTGGTGCCCATGCGCAGGGCCTCAGGTATAGACTGCTCAGGACGTGGTTGGGAGAGAAGCTCCCTCTCTTTGTGGCATGCTTCACAGCTCTCACTTGATCTCTCTTGGTATTGGCCACATTGTAGTGTGCTCAGTCATTGAGGGACCTTGTGGAATAAGTAAATTTTGCTGTATGTTTTTGGACTACACAAATAAATACTGTGACTGCACAGAGGGTATAATTCATGAAAGACCATCTCAGGTTTTAGCCCAGGCTTTTATCTGGAAGAAACAGGATTGGTTCACAGGATGATGTGTTTGTGAAACTGCTCTCTGAGCCTTATTAAGTGTGTTTGTTCACTGAGTTTTTGTTGTGGTGTAAGTCTCCTCAAGATCCATGGGAGATAGGAATACAGGCAGGACCATGTTGGTCAGCTTTCTCATGATCGTAAGGACACATAACCTACTTTTGCAGAGACGAGGTTTGTTTTGGCTCACGGGGTTGGTGGTTTTGGTCTGTAGCTGGTTGGTCTTATTGTTTTGTGGCCTGTGGCAGCACATCCGCCTCTCATGTGTGCCATGCTGGGGACCAAGCCTTCAGCTATGGACCTTTGGGGGACATTCATGATCCAAACTACAGACATGACTTTTTTTAGCCTATTCTTAAAATTGATACATGGAAACATAAAAATTCTGCATATTATAGGGTACCACGTGCTGCTTGGAACATGTATCTATTAGGTAATATTTAAATCAGGTTAAACCTGCCTACCTCCTATGGTACTGGGGACTAAACCCCGGGGTGCTTAACCACTGAGCCACATCCTCAGCCCTTTTTAATATTTTATTTAGAGACAGGGTCTCACTGAGTTGCTTAGGGCCTTGCTAAATTGCTGAAGCTGGCTTTGAACTTGCAATCCTCCTGCCTTAGCCTCCCCAGCTACTGAGATTACAGTTGTGCACCACTGCATCTGACTCTTGTAGCATTTTGAAATGTGTGGTGCATTTTCATTACATCCGGTCACCCTGCTGTACTGTAGCACACCGGAACTTCTTGCTCCTACCTATGACTCAGCACCCACTGGCCTACCTCTCTGCTCCCCACTCCCCAACTTTCCCCACTTCTGGAGATATCATTCTGTGCTCAGCTTCGAGAGATCACCTCGTCAGCTTACACTTGGACTGAGATCACACGGTGCCTGTCCTTCTGAGTCAGGCTTAGTTCTCCTGGCACAGCCATCTCCAGGTCCATCTTATTGTACACGACAGGATCGCCCTTCTGTGGCCAACTCGTGCTCCATGGGGCACAAGCCCCGCCCCTTCTCTGTCCACCCTCAACTGACGGACACTCAGACCTTCTGTTAATAGAGCTGCAGTGACTCAGGGAGAGCCGGTGTCCCTCTCCTCTGGACGTGTACCTGGCAGTGGGATTTCTGGGTCACGTGCTAGTTCTACTGTTGGTGTTTCAGGGAATCTCCGTGTGGTTTTCCACGCTGGCTGTGCTGATGTACACTCCCACAACAGTGCAAGGGCCCCTTTCCTCCACCTCCTCGCCAGCGGTTACCTTCAGTCTTCTTGGTAGTGGCCATTCTAACTGGAGCCCGGTGAGGGCTCACGGTGGTTTTGATCATGAGTCCCCAGGGTTTAGTGATAATGAGCGTTTTTTCTATGTACCCATTGGACATTTGAATGTCTTCTTTTGAGAAATGTCTATTTAGGTCTATAACCTAATATCAGCCTTTGTCAAGTGTGCAGCTTGCAGATGTTTTCTTCCTTCTTTAGGCTGTTTCTTCACTTTTGATAATTTCCTTCACTGTGAAGAAGTTTTTTTAGTTTGTTGTAATAATTTTTTATCTATTCTTGCTTTTGTTTCCTGTGTTCTTGAAGATTCTTGCCAATTCCAATGTCCTGAAGCATTCCCCTGTTTTCTTCTGGTAGTTTCATGTCTTTCATTTACGTCTCTCATTTGCGTTTATAGCTGGTGGGATGCACATCTGGCTTCTTCTGCATGTGGATGTAAATTTTCCCAGAATTTCTGACTTCTAAGGGCTTATCCATTAGGAGTGAGGCAGAGAAGATGTTTATACTTATTTCATAAAATCAGGTAGAAATTTATCACGTAATTTCTGGCAATAAATGAGATCCTTTGTAGAAATATTTAGTGAGCAAGAGGATATTTAGAGTATAACTCAGGAAAAATTTTAGGCCAACAATATAGGTTTGAGAGCTAAAACTTACAAATTTTAGAGCCATTTACATACTCAAAAATGTTGAAGAACATTGATAGTACATGTTGAATAGCCCTAGTTCAAAACCCCAAAGTAGCCAAAGTGTGAACTTTCTGAGTGTTGACACGATATCACTAGTAGAGAAGCCCACATCTGACTTCGGGATGGGGTGCAGCCAGCACACGCGCACTGATGCCATTGTGTGAGGTCACCTGCTAATGGTGCGCGTGAGTTGCATGAGCTCGACCTGGTGCCATCCCCATGATATCACATGGTGCCCATACAGATACCCTAACCCCTGAGTGGGTCAAGAGAGACACAGCCTGTGTCCCGTGGAAAGCAGGTCACTGAGCAACAAGCAGGGCGGTCGGCATTTCTGAGAGCTGGCCTAGACAGAGTGCTGGCTTCGTCACACTGTGGGGAGATACTGACCATTTTGTAGAGAAACACATGTCTACGGGGTGAAGTAAGTTGGTGCGGTGGTGTTGGCTTGGGCTCAGATATCTGGGGAGCCTGCCTTGGGGTTTGTGCCACACTGCTGTCCCCATCATGCCACTCAGGCCATGTGCTAGAGAAAGTGCCAGATTGTTCTTGCATGTGCTGATACCAGTCATCAGCAGGAGTCCTCTGTTGGTGTGGACAGTGATTTGGTAAGGTCTGGGGTCCCCGACCTGGGAATTAACAGAGCTAACGTACTTGTAAAGGCAGGGTTCTAACACATCCAAGTTGTCAGATTCGGTGAATTTCATTTTTTTAAATAACATAATTGTTTGCCCATAAGTATTCTAGATGAAGGTCATTTTCACCAGATTTCAGTTTTGTGGCATGACCATAACCTTTTCTACTTTGAATAATGTTACTTTATTATATTTTGCTTTAATCATTTCTCTCCATTTTTTCCCTTTTCTGCAGTCAACAACTCTTTATACTACCTTTGATGAAGTAAGTAGCTAGATTTATGTGGTGTTTTGGAACAAAACATTCTCTTATTTTAAAATACAAATTAAGATACAAACATAGAGATTAGCCCCAGATCACATGTTTATAGGGAAATGTTCATAGTAATAAAAGCATAAAAATCTATGCTAGATTTAAGTTAACTTTCAGGCTGATGTTGAGACCCAGAATTACTAATCCACTTTCTACAATTAACAGAATTCAAAGTTTGAAAATGTCAAGGGATATTGATATTATTGGCTGCACTTATTTAGAAGCTTACTGTGTGTGTGTGTGTGTGTGTGTGTGTGTGTGTGTTGGAGCGGGGGCAGGGTGGAAGGAACCCAGGGGAACTCTACCACTGAGCTATATCTTTAGCCCTTTGTATTTTGAGACAGGGTCTCACTGAGTTGCCTGGGCAGGCCTCAAACTTGCAATCCTCCTGCCTCAGTTTCTTGAGTTGACATGATCACAGGTATGTGCCACCGTGCCCAGTACCTGGGAGGCTTGCATTTTAGATTTCAGGTTAGCTTTGAATTTTTGCATGTGGAACATACCTCATCTACTACTATGTGTTTATATTGTGTGCTGATGCATTTAATCTGTGCATTGAGGGATGTGATTCTAGAGCAAAAATCTAGAATGGTAAGAATCACAATTAAAAGTATCTTGTGTGGCCCATAAGTATTGAGACTTTCTATGTGTGATTCTTGTGCCCCTGGAATGTGGCACAGATAAGGTGGTTGGGAAAGCCAAGGGAAAGCCACAGGCAGAGCTGTGCACCTGCAGATCATTTGGCCTGAGACATGACCACTGGGTTCCTAAGTGTGCAGTGGAAGTTAGAAAATTGCTGCTCACCTCAGGTGTGTCCCATTGGTGAGCAATTTGCTATGAACTTCAATATGTGATGCATTTGATAAAGAGGGTTAGATGGTAAAGTTGGATGGTAAAGTCAAAGCTGCATAAGGTCAGGTCCATAGTTCTGGGTCAGGGTCGTTGGATTTCAAAGTCCATGGTGAGTGAAGAGTGATTTAGGAAGTGACCAATGGGTGTGCAGGCATGCACAAACACACAGAACTTGCAGTCAAAGAATCTACCTTCAGTATTTAACATGCTATATGAGTTTCAAACAAATTAAGTGAATAAGGGCAGTTTTAAAAACATAGCAGCCACTGTTTAGGAAAATTGTTCTTAACCAACATAATTACTTTAGGAATACTGATATTTTAATTGTATGTGTGGGTGTATGAATGAGACCGTGCCTATATGTGTGGGTGGTTCAGTTTAACAGTTTATTTTTGGTGTTTTAGATATTGGCAAAACACATGAATGATGGCAGAATAAATCAACTTCCTCTTTTCCTTGGAGAACCTGCTATGGTAAGTATTTGACAGTTTCCAGCCTTGTGACTTCTGCTTATGAACATTTTCCATTTCTCTAGTCTAGGATTAAGTCATTTTGCTATGGTGTACTCTAGAACAGATCTGAGCTACACTGAGCCCAGCCTTGACTTGTCCCAGACCTGGCTGAGCCGTGTCTCCATCCTGGGCTGTGTTCTGTAGCCTGGTTATTCTTGTCCTTTTGAAGGCCTGCTAACTTAGCTGCCATGTCCCAAAGCAGTATTTGCATTTGGTAGTTGTATGTATTTGTGCTGTAGAGAAAATAAAATATATGTGTAAAATATAACAGTAGATTAAAAGGATTGATCATGGGGTGAAGAAGAGAACCATTAATGTTTTAGAATTGTTTTCTCCTTTCACTGTTTTGTACTTTAAGAAGATACTGTAGGGTCTGGGGATGCGGCCCGGGTTCTATTCTCAGCACCACCTACAAACAAAGATGTTGTGTCCGCCAAAAACTAAAAAATAAATATTAAAAAGTTCTCTCTCTCTCTCTTAAAAAAAAAAAAAGAAGAAGAAGAAGATACTGTAATGACTGCTTCAGGCTTTAAGTAGATATGTGTTCTTTCCACTTGAGAGTTAGCAGATCTAGATACCAGTTTCTGGGTTCATGATGCTCTTCATCCATTCCTACTTTCAGACAGTTTCCCTAGCATATCTGGTACTCAGTTCCATCCTGAGTCTCTGGGACTCCATCGGCAGCTTGCCCAGGACCCCTTTCCTTATAATCTGAGTGTGAAGCCTTGGGCATGTGCTGCTACAGTAGGAAACAGCTGTCTGTATCAGCTCAAAGATGGAAGATTGGTCAACAGAGGAGCCCAAGGGAGAGAGAGGAATGAGGAGGCACTAGAGAGCTGTGCTTGTGCACATGAGAGCTGAGCTTTCTTGTGTTTAAAAGTTTGTTTCCAAATGCTGATAGTCCAGTTCCCTTCCCTGAAGAAGGGTGAGGGTAACAAAGGTGAGAGTGCCATCTGCCCCTTGGTGCTTAGTTCTCAGGTCCTCTCAGACTCTCTTGTCTTTGCATCCTGCTTGGTGCCTGGACAGTAGGGCCCTCCCATGACAATCCAGCCATACAGCTTGGTGAGCGCAGTCCTGGAGGCCCACTTTTCCTATCCTTTCCACACGTGTAGGCGCAGCCCGTGTCTGCACCTTGCACTTGCTTCCCTTTCTGCCTGGAATGCTAACAGAATGTTTCCTCTTTATATTTTGTAAGGAATTTCTCTGGGATTTCCTGAACCATCAGGAGGGCCCCCGTCTGCGAGATCATTTGAGCCATGGGGAGATCGACTTACTCGAGTTTCCAAGAGAAGCAGCAAGTCAGTTACTTGCCTTTTCCACAGTACTTGTGCTCAGATTTGCTGGTGAAGAGGAACTGTCAGCTTTTAAGGTAATGCACAGGGAAGAAAGTAGTTAGAGTCACTGTCACGCAGGAATGAAAGAATGTAGTTTATTTTTCAAGTGTAATTAAGTATTAATAATCTTTTTATTGTTATTATTAGAAGCACAGCCAGCCATTGGCATCCACGTGCTTTCTGTGGGCACCCAGAGTGAGTCATAGGAAGGTGTGTTTTGTTTGTAACTGGCATTTTTCATAAAACGTGCTTTGCCATCTTTGTTCTAAAGTATTTTTTGTCACCTGTCTGGTGTTCTGCTTTGTCAGCGGAGCATCACTCATCCAAGCTATCCTTGGTGGCACATGGATTATGACTCTGCTTGACACGGAAGGTTCCTAAGGAGGATGCTGAACTGAGCATCAGTGTGCATGAAGGCACCTGTGTGAGGGACCTGTAGAAACAAAGCTTTGAGCCTGGCATTCCTTTCCTTTTTTTTTAGCAGTGAAAATTTAATACATTTTTATTATGGAATAATAGAGCCAAAGACCAAGTAACATAGTAAAATGAAGGCCCTTATACCTATCTTCCTGAAGGCCTACCCTAACCCATATTTCAGGGGTACTGGCGATTGAAGCCAGGGCATTTGACCAGAACTACATCCCCAGCCCTTATTTTGAGATGGTCTTCCTGAGTTGTCAAGACTGGACTCAAACTTGAGGCCATATGCACACATGAACTCCATTAGAAATTTATAAGAAGCATTTCTTGAGGTTCTGGAGATCAAACTCACAGCCTTATGCCTGCAGGGCACACTCTACTTGAGCCTTACCCCAACCCAAGAAAGCTAATGTGTTGTGCATGTCAATAATTCCCTGCCTACCAAGTTGCCACTGGGTTTCAGGCAATAGAATCTGTACGTTTGAGGTGAAGAACACAGTCGTAAGAATAAATCTGGATGTTGTGGACAGGCCTGATGTCCTTCACCAGCTGCATCAACTCCTTCCGAACCTGGTCAAATTTCATGTGATTGATCTCAGTCCAAAAACCCCAGAGGATTTTGTCAAAGCTCTCTAGAGGCGCAGGGTACTTCACTTGTTGGCACGCTAGCGGTGTGCCTCAGCAGGTTCTTAAGAGCAGTCAGGGGGATTTGGTTTCCACAGAAACTGAAGGTTCTGAGCTGGGAACAGTGACCCAGAGCTGGTGAGATGGCATTGAGCTGGGACTCTGTTATCTCATAAAACTCTAAGACCAGGGTCTCAAGGGTGTGTGCCACCTTCTCCAGCAGGACCTGGAGGGGCTCAGGACTCATATCTTTTATGGAAAAAGAGCTGAGATCCAGACACTTCGGTTGATCAGTGCTTGGACACATGGATAGATGCTTTAAATCCTTCTCCTTGAGCGGACAACCTCTCAGCGAGAGTGTTTTCAAGGGAGTCTGACTCCCTTCGTGCTCACAGGAGGATTTTGTGCAGCGCTCTGTAGAGGAAAACGACGTTGTTCACATAGAGTTTGTGGAGGTTTTTCACCTTCCGCAGTTGAAGGCTGAATCTAGGGAAAACCGCCTGTTTACCGAGTGGCTAGTGAAGACTTGCGGGCACAAGTTGGAGAGATGGAGGACGCGAAGGTGCCTCATCTTGATCAGGCAAAAACAAAAATGTTCCATTATTTCTCGAGTCCAGTGCTGAGCATTCACCTCCAGTTCCTGCACGTAGTACAATGGCAGAGTCCTCAGGAATTTAGAGAGTTTCAAGTAGAAACCCCCGATCTGCAGCTTCTCGCAGTATATACGGACCACCCCCTTTCTCTCTTCCACCCACTCCCTGAGGCTGCCAAGGAATCTTTGGAAGACGTTGTCCAGATCGACACCTATGAAGATCTCCAAGTGTGGCTTCGCTGCTCTTTGGCCCATTTCTCCCTTTCCTTTGGAGACGTGGCCTCTTGTGAGCAGGCGCCCAGTGGGGCTCTGGACCACTCATTGGAGCAGTCCTGATTCACCTCCCGAAAATCAATTCCTCTCATTCCATTTCCTGGGGTGAACGTTTTGGGAAATCAGCAAGTTTAGCCCATTCAGTAGGGTTTTTAAGGACTTCACATCACTTGTCTTCAGCAGGTCCTCCACAGGCAAACAGGCCAAGGGGCAGGACAGCACCATCTTCTTTAGTGTCTCCATGTGACCCCCTATTATAGCCTCCTTGTACAACTGCAGGGTGAGCACCCTGGGCAGGTACTCCAGGTTGGGGATGGGCAAGGCCTCATTGCATAGTACGTTCTATAGCACCAGGTCCTGGAGTGTGGGTCCAGTCCTGATGCTCATCCTGTTGAATCCTGTCTGCACGTCTGGATGGAATGGTATGGCTCTCCAAGTGTCAACAGATCCAGGCAGTGGCTCTTGATCCAGGATTCTTTCAACATTCCTTTCCTTTCCTTTCCTTCCCCTTTCACTGGTGTGTGTTGGCCATGCAGAAGGTGGGTTTCCTTGTGGCACATTTGCACATGCACATCTTTTGATCAGGGTCACTCCCCAGAACCTCTCTTGCCTGCCCTCCCTTCCCTGACCCCTTCTCTGCTCTAATGGTCTCCCTTCAAATTCATGATGTCCTTTTCCCCTCTGGCTTCCATGTATGGGAGAAAACATGGGAATTGTCTTTCTGAGTCTGGCTTATCTCACTTCACATTCTCCAGTTCCATCTATTTCCTGTAAATGATATCCTAATTCTGCTCTTCTTTATGGCTGAATAAAACTCGATTGTTATATATGCCATTGTCTTTATCCATTCATCTGTCTGCAGACATCTAGGCTGATTCCATAACTTGGCTATGGTGGATTGTGCCTCAATAAATACAAGTGTGCAGGTATCTCCACAGCACATGTTAGTCCTGTTTTTAGCTTTTGGAGGAACGTCTCTACTGATTTCCAAAGTGGCTGGGCTAATTTAGCTTTCCAGCGACAGTGTGTTAGAGTTCCTCTTCCCTGCGTCCTCACCAGCATTTATTGTTTTTTGTATTTTTGTTGGCTGCCATTCTGACTGGGGTGAGGTAGAATCTCGATGTAGGTTTTTTTTTTTTTTAAAATTTTTTTTGTAGTTGTGTAGGGACAAACCGTCTTTATTTTATTTGTTGATTTTTATATGGTGCTGAGGATTGAACCCAGTGCCTGCCACATGCTAGGCAAGCGCTCTGCCACTGAGCTACAGTCCAGCCTCATTGTAGTTCTGATTTGCATTTCCCTGATGGCTAAAGATGAAGATTTTTTTTATATACAATTTTTGCCCGTTTGTACTTCTTTTGAGAAGTTTCTATTCATTTGCCCATTTATTGAATGTGTTATTTGTTTCTTTTGGTATTGAATTTTTTGAGTTCTTCATATGTTTTACAAATATTTTTCTTCCTCAGAAGATAGCTGACAAAGGGCTTTCTCCCCCTCTGTACGCTGTCGTAAGCCTGTTGTTTCCTTTGCTGTGCAAAAGCTTTTTGATTTGATGCATCCCCATTTGTCAATTGTTTCATGAGCCATTCAGAAAGTCATTGCCTGAGTCTGTTGAAGGGCTTCCTCCATTTCCTTCCAAGAGTTAAAAATTTTCTGGTCTTACACTTAGTTCCTTGATCCATTTCAAATCAAGTTTTGTGCAGGATAAGAGATAGGGATCTTGTTTCATTCTTCTACATGTGGGTATCCACTTTTCCCTGCACCATTTGTTAAAGAGGCTGTCTTTTCTCCAACACCTGCATTGGCAACTTTGTCAAGAATCTGGTGACTATATTGGTGGATTTGTCTCTCTCCTGATTTATTCCATGGGTCTTGGTGTCTGTTTTTATGCCAACACCATGCTACTTTTGTTATTATGGCTCTGTAGTGTATGGGATCAGGTATAGTGATGTCTCCAGTATTACTCTTTTTGCTCAGGATTACTTTGGCTGTTCTGGGTCTTTTATGCTTCTGTATGAATTTTTAGATTGTTTTTTCTAGATTTGTGAAATATGATATTGAAGTTTAGATGGTATTTGCATTGAATTTGTGGATTGCTTTCAATAATTTGCCATTTTACAGTATTTTAAAATGTTTTTGCTAATGTATTATAGTTCTGTGTAATAGAGGGATTCATTTTGACACAAAACAAATGCATTTAACTTAATTTGCTCCATTTCAGGCTGCAGTACTTCCCCTTTCCCTCTCCTCCTCCTTTCCTCTATCTTCTTCTTCCTCCACTCTACTAGTCTTCTGTTGTTTAGATATGAGGTTTACCCCCAAAACTCATGTGTGAGACAGTCCAAGAAAGTGTACGGGTGAAACAATTGGGTTATGAGAGGATTGAGCTGATCAGTGCATTGATTCTGAATGGATTAACTGGGTGGTAAGTGTAGGCAGGTAGGATGTGGCTTGAGGAGGTGGGTCACTGGGAGTGTGCCTTAGGTGTGCATTTGTTCCTGGTGAGCAGAGCTCTTTCTGCTACTTGATTGTCCTTCCTGAGCTGCCTTCCTCCGCACACACTTCCTCCCGGGGTTCCGCCTCACCTCAGGGCCAGAGCAGTGAAGTTGGCCATCTGAACTGAGACCTCTGAAACTTTGAGTCAAACAAACTTTTCTTTGTTGTTCTTGTTGGGTCTTTTGGTCACAGTGATGAAAGCTGACTAAGGGAACTGGAGATGTGGCTCAGTTGGCAGAGGGCTTGCCTTGCATGCACAAGGCCCTGGGTTCAATCCCAGCACCACCAAAAAAAAAAAAAAAAAAAAAGCTAAGGCATCTTCCTTGCATTTATCACCGTGGTTTTAGTTGGTGCATTGTAATTTGACATCAAAGTAGAATTCATTTTGATGTATTTACACAGGTACGTAGCTTATTTTGGTCAACGTCTTTTTTTAACCTCTTTTATTCTTTTTACATAAAGGTGACAGTAGAGTGTGTTTTGACATGTTTGTACGTACACGGAGTATGACTTACTCTAGTAGGACCCCATTCTTGTGGTTGAACATGTGGAGTTTCACTGGTCGTGTATCATATATGAACACAGGAGAGTGATGTCCATCTGTCCTACTGCCCTTCAGTTCCCGTCCCC